CCCCCCCCCCCCCCCCTTGTCCCTCGTCTGACAGCTGCAGGACCCCGCCTGTGGGCATTCCCCCCGGCCGGGAGGCGGCTGGCGGCGCGGGCCGTGGGAATGCGACGGGGCACACGTGGAACGCGCGCCATTGCTAGAAAGGGCAATTGCAGCAGGTCGGCATGAGGCCGTGGAATGGAAGAGCCCGGAGCATATGGTTTCCGGCCCGCTGGCTCAGGGGAGTTCGCTCGGATGAGCGGCCTGGAATGGCCGGGCCCCCTCTGCGCACGCGCGCGCGCCCTCTTGGGGGAATTAGCACCAGACAGGCAGACAGACAGACAGACACACACACACACACACACGAGCCGATGGACACGTATCATTCCATGGCGCCAGAGGCCGGGAGACGCGTGGCCCGGAGGACCTGGCTTGGGAGGTCTGCTTGGAGGAGGATGGCCGGCGCGCGATGGGCCCGCGCTCCGGGGGCGAGACGGCCCAATGCGCGCGAGCGCCGCGCTGTGCTTCATAGCCGAAGGTTGCGTCCTGCGGAGGGGTATGTTAGCCGGGAGGGAGCCCCACCCGGCAGGGGTCGGGCGCGTGGCAGGGCCCGGCCATGGGGGCCTCGGGCAAAAGTGCGAGAGCGTGAATATGTTGGGTCGGTTGGCGGCCCAGCGGGTTGGTGTGTTGGTGGTCCCATGTGTTGGTGTGTTGGTGTTCCGATGTGCTGGGGTGTTGGGGGACGTCGGCGCGCGTTGGTGCGCCAGCAGGCGAGCTGGCGCGCGGGCCGAGGGCGCCAGTGGAAAGGACCGCCCGGCGGCGTGGAGGTCCCGCGTCGAAGCCCAGAACGCCCGGCGCGCGCGCGCACACACACACACACACACACACACACACACACACACACACACACACACACATACCAAAAGGGCGCAAAGATGAGGGACCCCGTGCTCATCACCCTCGACCGCCGCGGGGCGCGCATACCGCGGCGCCGCGCGTTGGCCACGATGGGAAGTTGGTGCGAGTGGGGAGCCCATGAAGTGGGCACATATTTTCCGGCCGGCCGGCACACGCCCCCCCAGGTTGATTAGGGGGTGGGCGCACCCCTCACTTATGCCAGGTGCCAATGGAGGCCGGCCGACCGGCGCCGGAGGAGACACCTTTCCCCCCTCCCCCCCTGCCCCTGGGCGCCGGGGGCGGGCAGCGGCCGCGGCCGAGCGGGGCCGCTCGGCCCAGGCCGCACCTCGTACAGGGCACCCCCGGGGGGTGGGCGCCTCTCGGGAGAGGCGGCCCACCGGCTTCTCAAGGGGGAAATGCCCCGGCGCAGGTGGGGGGCTCTGTCGTGTGCCCGGTCGCACGGGCGCCGCGGGCCACCGGAGGGAGGCCCGGCACGGTCGGGCGCCTGGCCAGCCGCCGGGCCGAAGCACGCGCATGCCGACCGGCCTGCCCTCCCCCATGCGCCGCCGGCCAGGAGGGGCCGGGGATGTGAGGCTCTCCCGGGGGCAAGGCCGGCAGGCGCACCGAGGCCGCGGCTCGCCCGGGCCCGCCAGGCCTCCGGCCGGCCGGCCACCGGACCCGGCACCCGCGGCGGCGTGCCGCATCCCCCGGGGGCAAGAGGCGGCCGCAGCACCCCGCACCCACCGGCGCCCTATAAAAGCCGGCGGTAGCAAGCGACCCGTCCACAGGGAAGGCCACCACTCTCCGTGTTGCCTGGCTCTCTCGTTCTCTCTCTCTCTCTCTCTCTCTCTCTCTCTCTCCCCCCCCTCCCCCAAACCTACCTACCCTCTCTCGGTCTTCTCCGGGGAAAAGATCCCGCCCGCCGGTCATGCGACGCGATCACCCTCCCCCCGGCCGGGCCAGGGCCGCGGTCCTGAGCCTGCTTCTGCTGCTGGCCCTGGTGGCGTCGGTCGTGGCAGCGGTCAAGGCGGCCGCCTGCCCGACCGGGCACTATGCCAACCAGCAGGGGGACTGCCTGCCCTGCGACCTGTCGTGCAAGGAGTGCGACGATGGGACATCCTGCTTCCAGTGCCAGACGGGCCTGGGGTTCCTTTCGTCCGACCCGACGGTGCCCAGCCTGTGTACGGGCCTCTGCCCGATGGGGCAGTTCCTGAATCACGAAGGAACGGCTCGGTGCACGCCGTGCGGCCCATCGTGCCTTGATTGCCCGTACTCCGACAGCCAATGCAGTGCATGCGCGGCGGCCTTCGGCTGGGAGAACGGACTTAGCCCGGGCAGTCCCAGGTCCACGTCGCCATGCATCGCCTGCCCGGCGAATTGCACCACCTGCCACAAGGCGGACGGTTGGAACCGCTGTCACTCCTGCAAGCCGGGCGCCGGGCTGGACGGGGCCGGGAATTGCATCAGCACGCCCACGTCCGATGGCAGGTGGCTGGATGAAGCCACGGGACGGCTGCTGACTTGCGACCCGACGTGCGCCGCGTGCAGCGGCCCGCGGGCCGAGGACTGTACCCGGTGCCGGGCGAACTGGCGCCTGGAGGCGGTCCCGGCCGGCGGCCGTGGGGCCTGCGTGTCGGACTGCCCGGCCGGCGAGTACCCCTCGGCCGGCAGCCCGACCGGCTGCGCGGCGTGCCATGCCTCCTGCGCCACCTGCTTCGGGGGGCTGGACAACCAGTGCCTCTCCTGCCGGAGTGGCCGGCCGCTGCAGGGGCAGAAGTGCGTCCTGTCCTGCTCGGACCGGCACTATGAGGCCCTTGGCCGGTGTGAGCAGTGCCACCCCGCCTGTGACCAGTGCACCGGGCCCAGCAACATGGACTGCGTGGGGGCCTGCCCGCGTCGGCTGGTGTCGCTCACGGGCCCGGGGCCGGATGAAGAGGCCTGCCTGACCCGATGCCCGGAACGCATGGGCCGCGGCCCGGCCGACAAGTGCGTCGATTGCGGGGACCACTGTGTCTCGTGCGCGCTCGCCAGCCTGGTCGACCCCGAGCCGAGGATCGAATGCAAGAAGTGCGATGTGGGATGGCTGCTGGACCATCGGAGCAGGGGCTGCGTGGCCGAATGCCCGCCCGGGACCGTGGCCATCGGGCTGGAGTGTGTGCAATGCATGCCGAGCTGCGCCCAGTGCTATGGGCCCATGGCGAAGCACTGCATCACCTGCCAGCCGGACCACCCCTTCCATGTGAATGGCTCTTGCCTGGCCTCCTGCCCGGAGCGGATGTACCCCTCGTCGGAGGGCCAGTGCTCGCCGTGCGACGCCAGCTGCTTGACATGCTCCGGCCCGGGCAGCAGCCAGTGCACCAGCTGCTGGCAGGACCAAGCCCTGACGGTGGGGGGGAGGTGCGCGACTTACTGCCCGGCGGGGGAGTTCCGAACCGATGAGCCCCCTTCGCCGGGCTACGTGTGCGGCAGTTGCCCGGACCGGTGCATCTCCTGTCACGACGCCAAACGGTGCACCCACTGCAACGAGGACACCTTCCTGCATGAGGGGGCCTGTCATGGGGCGTGCCCAAGTGGGACGGCCTCGTGCATGGAGAATCGCCAGTGCGAGAGGTGCCCGCCATTGTGCGATGAGTGCACCGCGACGATGGTGGACGGGATGGGCCACTGCCGCGTCGAGTGCCTTGCCTGTGAGGAGGGCCTCTTTTTGGATCCCGCCACGGGCCGGTGTGATTACAGCTGTCCGGATGAGCAGGTCCCCGTGGATGAGGGTAGCAGTGTGTGCGGGCCCTGTGCGGAGGGCTGTTTGACATGCTTGGGCACGGTGGATCGGTGCACAACATGCCCGGAATCGGCCACATGGCTGAGGTACGACACGAGCACCTGCCAGGAGCAATGCCCGGAGGAGGGCTTTGGCACGCTCTTCCTCAAGCAACACTACGGCATGGGGTGGGTCAATGTGTGCAGACCCTGCCCGGCCGGGTGCGACACCTGCATGGACCCCAAGTCCAAAGAATCGTGCGAGTTTTTGCGGGACACCGGGCGCCTGCATTGTCCGTGGGAGATGCGCTGCCAAGCCTGCGCCGAGCCATTGCTGTACTTGGCCGAGAGCAACACCTGCACGGACAGCTGCCCGGCCGGGACATTTGCCGACCCCGATGCCCGGCATGCGACTATTCCCTCGTGCGTCAAGTGCCCGGGTGGCTGTCTCAGCTGCACGGGACCGGACCCGGCCGAGTGCACGCAAAAGGACAAGGAGGAAGAAGGCAAGTCCTCGAAGCGGCGGCTAGGTACGCGCTGGCGGCCCTGGGCCTGCCCCTGTGGGCGGGGGGGGGGGGGGGGGGGGGGGGAAGGCCGGGGCTGGGGGGCCCAAGCCCCGGGGGGTCCTTTGGCCCCGCG